ATGCAGCGCTTCACATCACCACACAGCAACATGCAGCGCTTCACATCACCACCGCAACACGCAGCGCTTCACATCACCACACAGCAACATGCAGCGCTTCACATCACCACCGCAACACGTAATACATCACGTCACCGTCACTGCGTCTCCGACGCCGCATCGTACCTACCGGCTGCGACCACGCCCTTCGCGAATCCCTCGTCCTTTTCGCCGTCGCCACGGCGACCCGTCAGCAGGTAAGGCTCGTGTGGCAGCAGGTGTCCGTCGCGCGCGCACGCCGCAACGTAGTCGGTCGACACGATGGGGACGCCGAGCCGCCGCGCCGCCGCGCACTTGCTCGACGCGCGGGACCGCTCCGCAGAGTTCGCGACGACGTACTCGCTCTGTGACGGAAGCAAGAGAGAGAGAGAGAATGATGCTCAAGAATGTGACGGAAGCAAGAGTAAACAATGAATTCATATTTATCTTTCGATTTAATAATAATAATAATTCTCTCTCGCTTGCTTCCGTCACAGAGCGAGTACGTCGTTGCAAACTCGGCGCGACCGATTAAAATTTCCGAGACTTCTTAAATTTCCTAGAAACTTGTTTACTCTTGAATGAAATAAGTTCATTGGATTTCGTTGAAACTGAATTCATATTTACCTTGTGTTAAATCCAAGAAATTAACTTACTATCGAAATTTTCGATCTCCCTTCGGGAAATCTTCATTAGGATGTGATGTCGCCATAGGTGGCAGCAGGTGCAGCACGGCTCTTCCCGGGGGACGATCGAAAAGTCGATAGCAAGTTAATTTCTTGGATTTAACACAAGATAAATATGAATTCAGTTTCAACGAAATCGAATGAACTTATTTCATTCAACATGTGTTCAAGGGCAAACAAGTTTCTAGGAAATTTAGGAAGTATCGGTAATTTTAATCGGTCGCACCAAGTTTGCAACGACGTACTCGCTCTGTGACGGAAGCAAGCGAGAGAGAATTATTAATATTATTATTAAATCTTAATTGCATGTAATTCAAATGTATGTACTGAGGACAGTCTTTTTCATGGAAAATCGGATAAATGCAATAGTGTTGAGCAGTTAAAATGATAAAATTTTTGAGTGATACAGTACAAAACAGTGCTATATACAACATGAAAAAAATATATATACAAGAAAAATAACTTCGGCATATTCTGTACAAGTAAAGTGATTAAGGCACACTTAACACGCTCAACGCGCTGCCTGGGTTAACAATGCAACCTACCGCCCTGTGCTAGATTTTCACGTTTTTACGCTTAGTCACCTATTACACAAAATGTTTTTGCAGGTTTAACTAGACTATAAAATTATTTATAATTAGTGGCAGTATAAGTATATATATAACTTACTCTCAGACATCAAAACAACACCGGAATCTATCACCCCTGATCTATCAAATCAAACAACTTTCAGACATAAAAACAATTCACACACACGCGCGGTCAAAAAGCCCTTTGGCGAGGTGAACTAAAAACATTACCTCAGTCCCCAAAACTCCCAAAATAACGTTCCAAGCAACAGTAAAGTATTGTATAAATTATGTCATCTACTACTGGGGTTTATACAGTGACGCTATTGAATTGCTAAGCGTATAGCCCCTGCCATCTATAGGAGAACATAGTAAACGTTCCAAATTTTTTATTTTTTTATTTTTATTTTTTTCTGGCACGAGTATACTCGTGTTTCGCGGCCGTGCGTTTGCAGGTTCGAACGAGTATACTCGTGTTTCGCGTTGAACGTCTAAATCAGAATGATGAAGAATGTGATGGAAGACAGAGTAAACAAGTTTCTAGGAAATTTAGGAAGTCTTCGAAATTTTAGTATCTGTATCTGTATCTGTACTGTACGTCAAACATGACTATTATGCAATGGGCTATAGCTAGCCAGGGGTGTGACCTAGCTTGGGTAAAGCTAGATAGTTAGCCTTTGAGCCGAATGGCACTAGATTCTTTTGCGCCGTCAGTGGTTCTTTTACGACCCCATTGGCCTTAGTATTACAGGAGACGGGACCGCCATTTTACGTGGTCATCCGAGCCACAAGAGATTCAGTCTCCAATGTTGGCAACGATAGGTGGGTGGGGCCCAGTGACTACATGACTTCTTTCCGATGGGAAGTTGTTGACACGGATTTTGGACTCGACCTCCCGGAAGTTACACATACTTGCAGCGCCTGCGAATTCCAGGTCCTGTTTCATTCGTTAATAACCATAATTTTTAGTTTTTTTTATTCTAACAATGTACCTAAATGGGCCTAGCTAATCTTAATACATAATCTATCAAATTAATATAGGAATAACCTTGCGTGTGACAATGTACGACACCACACCACCGTGCTGAACGATCAGGTTGCATATGTTGCGTTTTTCCTTGAATGGCGTGCAAGGATCAAAATCCACACTGAACTGCGCCGACCGAAACAGACCCATGACGAATGCTCGTGATCTTGTTATGGCTGTGCCGTCCGCACCTAGACAATATAACATAAATAATATTATTAATATAGTCAGGCTTTCTTAGCTAGCTCTTTCTATCTCTTCCTCGATCTCTCTGGTAAATACAAAGTACTACTACTAGTACTATGCTGCACTGTACGCTGTACTGTATTTTTCTTTTTCCTTTTTTTATAAACGAAGAGCTAGCTTTGCGAAAACGAAGGTCTGAAAGTCAGGGTACACTGGGACAATGCAGGGTACACAGTGACATATCGTATAGTACCGCTCATAGGGTCTATGTCCCCCAGGGTACTGCCGGAACGTACCCTGGGTACGGTC